GTTCAGCAGAGAGGGCTGGAGGCATCCAGGAGAGGACGAAGTGCCTGATTCTTCAGAACAGAAAAATTTCAAATGAAACAAACAGAGGGAAAAAGATCCCTTCAGGCTTCTCCAGGACGGTGTAGCTCTCGTTTGTGCGGTCTCCCAGACTCCACCGTTCCAGGTGGGAGCAGAGCTATGGGAGGGCTTGTTACAGAGCTGAGCCTTCAGCTGTTCTCAAGAAAAACCACTGTCGTGTTCCTGAGAGTCCACGGCCACCCAGCTCCTCCTCTGCCCAGATCTCCCACCTACCCCAGATCTCCCACCTACCCCAGATCTCCCACCTACTCCTCAGCGCAGTCCAGAACTGCTCCGAAGGACACGGGAAACCCAAGAACCCAGCGGCGGCCATGGGAACACTTCACTGCTCTCTACCTGCTTTTCAGCACGAGGAATAAGAAAATCTCTGCAGAAGCCGGACTTGCCCACTCAATATTTGATGGCAGAAGTTTGACAGGAGGTTCTGACACTTTGGAGATTGACTATTTTCACACGCTTGCCAGGTCAATTATTAGGGTTGGTAGCTTTAAATAATCACTTGAATTTTCCAAGTGTTGTTACAAACTCATATTCTAAATATTTTCTATAGCTAAACATCTCTTCTCGGTGACAAACAATGATAGGACAAGGGGTAACGGACACAAGCTGGAACACAGGAGGTTCCACTTCAATTGGAGAAGAAACTTCTTCTCAGTGAGGGTGACAGAGCACTGGCCCAGGCTGCCCAGAGAGGTTGTGGAGTCTCCTTCTCTGCAGACATTCAAAGCCCGCCTGGACGCCTTCCTGTGTAACCTCATCTGGGTGTTCCTGCTCCGGCAGGGGGATTGGACTGGATGAGCTTTGGAGGTCCCTTCCAATCCCTAACGCTCTGTGATTCTGTGATCTAAATATCTTAATAGTATGAATATCAGTAGCAGCAAGAAATTCCTGCATTACCATCTATTCCAACAAGACTACTGAAATATGACTGCACCTCAAATAATGAAAAAAATCACTAGAAAAGACTGATAAGTACCTAATTCTCATGAATTTCAACTGGAAATGGGCAGCTGAAGGGAACAGCTGTTTCTTGCTCACTTTGGACTGGAGTTTTAGTCCATGACAGAGGCTAGATAACTTCATTAAAGCCTCACGCCTCATACGGGCTGAAGCTGTCGGGTACGTGGATGACAGCTTGGTGGGACACGCTGCGTGTCAGGATTCACACCCTGCCGAAGTGCTAAAGCCTGAGAATTACAACAGAAAGAAAGAGGGAGCTATCCCTGCCCCGGCTCTCCGCTTGTTCTGTAATGGACAACGCTCTTTCCCATGAGCAGGAAAACACAGCATGTTAACTACAGGGGTAGAAAAAAGTCTGAGGCAGAGCTGATCCTGTTCCACACCTACAGATTTTAGCCACACCTCACCATTATAATATGAAAAGAAAAAAAAATAAAACCCCAAAACAAGCGAAAGGCAAGCAATCCGGTATGTGGCTGTGATTCCAAATAACAACAGTGTGTGCAGGCTCATAAAAGCTTCAGAATTGACCAAGAGGAAGCACGTTTCGTGATGACACAATCTTGTTGCTGTAGTCATTCATCGAAGGGAAACTCCCACAGGAAAAGGCATAAAGCAGCCTAGGGAAGGCTAAGGAGCTGCTCAGTGCTAGCCAGTCAAACATTGGGTTAGATCACAACAGAGCTAAGCATGAGCACCAGCCAAGGCCCTTTCCAGCTTTTTTCTGGGTCCCTCAGGGGTGGTGCAGGGTGTGGTTTGGCCCAGCAAGGAATTTCTTGCAGACCTCCAGGTGCAGATGGTGGTGCCAGCAGCACACAACCCTCCTTCTCCTCCGCCAGACCCCTCTGGCTGTCTGCTGCAGCGGGGGCACCGTGGGGAGGCTTCAGCGAGCGCCATGGGGAAAGCATCTTCCTGGGGGGGAATGAGAAACAGACCATGCAAAACCTGAATGACCGTTTGGCTGCCTACCTGGACAAGGTCCGCTCCTTGGAAGCAGCCAACGCTCAGCTGGAAAGCTGCATCCTAGAGTGGCACAGGACAAAGTCTCACGGAAAGAGGCATGACTTCAACCAATACGAGCAAAACGTCACTGACATGCAAAGACAGGTAAGTCAGAGCTCTAGCTAATATGTCACTCTCTGCTCTCTTAAGGAACCTGGGTACTCACTTATGCTGATGGTTTTCCTTTAAAGAAAGTTAAATCAAACCTTTGAAGTGTTAGAAATACTACCGAAAGTGTTACAGGAGCTGAGCAGGAACATTCTTTGTGTTCACGAGGAGAACAGGGACAAGAAAGGCTGGAAGGGGTCAAGGGGGATTCTTCAGAGGCTGGGAGTACCGAGAGCTCTGTTTGCTGCCAAGGCTTCGCTCCTGTACGTGAAACTGTGGTTTCAGTAACCCTGTCTGGCAGAATTTGGGCTTTCTGACTGCACATGTATTCCAGCAAATTACAAAGCAGCGAACTGCAGAGACTGCCGCCTCTCCTGCGTGCTGTCTCTAGACATACCCATGCATTTCATTTCTTTGATTCCTGTGGTAGCAGACGAAACTAAAGGAGGTTTGGGTCCAATGGGCTTATGTAATCAGATGGAAAAATACTTCATTGTAATTAACAAAATAGCAGTGACAAATTCCTTGTGGATGTTTTCACTATAATTAAAAGGAGAATTTCTGGTTCCTGCCGGTAGTTAATATTAACGTTCAACAGTAACTCTTTCAATCTCTCAAACTCACGTGTCTTCATATTCAAACACAATATTAATCTGTATTCATAAGGAACATACTTAGCACTGTAACCACCTGTGTGACTAATCAGCATCATTAACTTTACATAGCCATATGAGGCAAAAAACAAAGCTATTCCAAACGCAATGCTGTAGTTTTCCCTCCCGTTTTTTATAATACAGTTACTTGGCATTTTCAGGACCCTGAGAGACTTCTTTCCAAAGGGCTTGGACATGGTATTATCTCACATCTCTGCTGATCGAGGCCAGGGACTGCACCAAGCTCCCTGCTCCCCGTTAAATGCGTTGCCTGCAGGCAGATGAGGTGCCCCGACCACAGGCAGCGCAGGGAGAGCCAGAGCTGTCGTCACCTATTCCTGTTTTAGGGATACAGAGAGGTCACCCATCTCCACCCCTATCACTTCAGCGCTTGCTTTTTAACTGATCCAGAGGTAAAAACTTGATCATCAAGAACAGAAACGTGTTCACACTGATTCGCAGTTAATAAATGAGAAACATTCAGGAAGACAGTAAGACATAAAGCATAATGCTAACTGGGGTAAAGCCCTCACTTTTGAACAGCTTTCGTACCAAAACACTTATTTTTAGCACTGAAATCGCTATCACTGGCTCCAGACACCTGTCTCACACACATGTGCTCCCCGTGGTGCTCACGCTGGGGAGGGCCATTAAAGGATTATTTACAGGCAGCAATTCAGTGATTTCACCCAGAATTTTTACTTTCTCTATAAATTATCGTCATTAGCGCCAGTAAAATGAGTGAAAATATAGCATCTAATTATTAACCGTAATTACATTAATTAACCATGAATTAAAAAGGTGAAACTAATTTAGCACCTAAAATGGAATTTAGACCAAATTTAGAAACATTTACCCAATAACCCAGAAAGTCTCTGATGCACTGGCTGTCTAAACTGGGAGGGATTTGGGATCTGGGTCCTACCTTTTGGACCACACTCTGCCCTGGACACCTGAATTCTGGGTGAATGTGCCAGATGGGGCAGCAAGTTGCCTTTTCCAGCCTGACTCCAGGCTAAGTCAGACACAAGTAAAATAGCACCAGTTCTTCAGGGAAATGTCTCATTCAAAGAGCTTGCATGAGTCCATAAGCAAAGAGATCTACAGAGCGTCCAAGGAGACAGCATCGATGCTGCTGGACAGAGGACATGAGACGTGCTGGGAAGAAGTCAGTGCAGAAAGTCTTGGAAAAAATGTGTTTCAAGAAGGAATTTGAGTGTATTTCATATCTAATAATGCATGAGTTGTTAATTAAGCTATCGGTGAGTTTGCAGACTGGTATTAGTGATGCCTCCGTATTCACAATGGATGTAGAGAAGAATTCTGTATCGTTCTAAATGATAAATGTCCACATCTGAAACGCACTGCTAACTGCCATAGCAAGCAACACCGTACAGCAGCTGGCAAACACTGACAATCAAACTCCTTTGCTGTGTTGTTTCTTTCAGATTGCGCAGAAAGAGACATAAAGCGTTGATATAAATGTGGTTTTGTGTTGGGCGATTATGAAACGGCACAAAGTTGAAGAACTCATGTGTTGCTTTCTCATTGCCTTATTACCTGGCACAGTAAAATTCACCGCTCTCTAAGGGTCGATTCCAGAACTGCCAAATTCCAGCAGAGACATTTTGGGTATTGTCATGGGTCTTCAGCTGCCCCCGGTCACGTCCCAGGGCAGTACCCGAGGTGCGCTGCCAATTGCTCACACACGTGCAGTCTGTTACCAGATGAGCTCAAACACTCCACAGGCTCCCTCTTTTTTGCTCTGAAAGGTAAACTTTTGACACTTGAGGACAATTTTGTCATTTCCTTCTTTCTCTGTGATTCACTGAGGCGTGGGAAGGTTTACTCTGAGGTGCTGAGAGCTCTGTAAAGGGGTAATGATTTCTCTGCAGGCAGAATGCACCTTGTTTTGCAGTGCAAGTGTTGAGTGAAGGCAGCTGCTGGAACCACAGCCACGCTTCCATTCCCTCTGCTAGGAAAGGATGTGATGTCCCACAATTATTAGTTCCTGCTAATTATGTGACTGTTCCTGCTAGAAAGATTTTGAATGGAATTCTGAGCTTTTCATATTCACATCCATAGTTCAAAGCTGTTTCATGTTAACAGGGACTTAGGCGGCTTTTCAGCGCATGCCGAGCACATCAAATGAACGATGCGGTGCACTTTCTCCTGCACCTTTTAGGGCAATTTTCAACATCCTAAAGCAAAATCAGAAACTGGATTTAATCACTCAATGCTGCTGGCCAATTCAGTGCAGTTACAGGTGAATAACTGAATGGCCCACCATAACAAGATGCCAGTGCTACTGTCAAAATGACAGCCCACGCGACTCCAGAGTGGAGCACGTGGTGGACTCCAGCAGTGTTATTCCTCTGCACCACAGCACTGACCAACAAGGGGTTCATGCACGTAATTACTTATTAGCACACGCTCAATTCCAGCATTTCGATTGTACTCAGACACAGCCTGATGGTTCTTACTGAAATTTGCCCTAAAGATGACCAAGGCTGCTTTTCCAGCAATGCGACACAGAGTCAAAATCAGTTCCCAATAAAGAGGAAGAGAGTTATTGTTATTCTGTAATATACCATGAAGTTAGTGTAATATTATTTGTATCCACTACCTGGCCAGCACAAAGATGACTCCTCGTTCATATCCAGAAAAGTAAGAGAAAGAGAAAAGATAGACAAAAACTGCAGAAATGTCTAAGTGAATCAGGAAACTCAGCTTCTTTAACTCAGGTACTCTCCCAGCATGGGAATTCTCTGTTCAGATGCTTCGTATGAGCAGCAAGGAGTCTAAACCAGCCCAGGTTATTCACCATCACCACATGGCAACACTGAGTTTGCTGTTGGATTCTCTGTTTTCCAGATTGAGGATGGCAAGATCACCAATGCCAGTATCCTTTTACAAATCGATAACGCTAACATGGCATCTGAAGACTTCAGGCTCAAGTAAGCACTTCTTTGGTTTCCTGTATAACTTTGAAAGAGGATTAAGCAAAATACTGCTTTTTCTTGATAATCCAATGTGAAACTGATTTTATTGAGGTTTTCTGGTGATACTGGATAAATAAAAGCAATGTAGAATAGAAAAGAAAATCAGAAAGGATAAAAAGGATGCAAAACCCACAAATGATTGCTGAACAATTGAGTCACCCTGTTTATGATACTTAGTGCAGGTCCTGAAGAGCAGGTTTTACAGCAGACACTTGATACCTGTGACAAAAGGCATTTAAAACTGTCATCTGGGAATACAAATTAACCCTTCTCTGCACTGCACTTCCCAGTGCAGCCCAAATCTACTTCCTGTACTTATCACCCCTCCTGTCCAGCTGCACAGGAAATACCCGTCCTTCAGCAGCTTCTGCTTTGGGTCTCTGGAGTTTTGCCACACACAGTAAATGGGCCGCTGCTTCCTCGGGTACCACCATTTGATTTTTCCCTACGCTGTTGAGAGAGAGTCCTCAGACCAACTAAAAAGCCAGAATGTTTGGACAGAAAACTTCCCGGCAGATCTTTGCAAAGGAAAGGAGTTTACATTTCTGTAAGTTACACTTAGGAATCCTGAAGATTTCTCGTATTTTCAACAGATGCTGATCAGCCATTAAAAAAATCTCTTAGCTTTAGATAATATTATAACAAACATAAAGCCCCTGAACACTTAGGCCTTATCTGGCCCTGCCTCTCTTTGCCATTCCCTCACGCAGGTATGAGGCGGAGAAGGCGCGCAGGCAGGGGGTGCAGCTCGACGTGGAGAATCTGCGGAAGGAGCTCGATGGCCTGACCATCATTACCACAGATCTGGAGATGGAAATTGAAGGCCTGAGAGAAGAGCACATCCTCAGAAGGAAAGACCATGAGGAGGTACCAAAAGTGCCACTTGGTAAAAGCCTATCGCACAAATCTTCACTCACGTGTAATTAACTTTGAGTAAGATCCTCAATCTATAAACGGGATTGATGATTCAGAACTAAATAATGTCTCTAAAGAAGGCAATGAGAGCCAGATGAGGCACAAAGTTTGTGTCCTACTTTGCCAATTAAATTGGGCTTTAAGAAAGGGTCACAAATGGCTGCATCTTCTCCCACTCTTTTCTAGTCACCTCCCCATCTGTCATACACAGTCAATAATAGCTTACATATTCGATTGAAATCTTCTCAGAAATACTTAGATATAAATACACAGAAATTTCAAGCAAACAGGAAACATTGCTCTTGGGTTTACTGATCACAGACTTTCCCCTCGGCTCTGGAGATATCATTTCACAGAATCAGAGAGGCACAGAGTGGCTGAGGTTGGAAGGGACCTCTCGAGGTCCCCTTGTCCACCCAAACAGCTCCAGCAGGGTCACCTCAACTAAACAGAGCCTGAATTCTTGAAGGATCAAAACGAAAAAGAGTGGTTGGTGCAGTCAAGTAAAATTACTTATTCTTGCAAAATCCTAAGTACAAGAATTAGATAATAATCGCGAAAACCATGCTGCTCTGAATTCTTCCAGAGCTATATCACAGGGGCTCTGATATTCCCACCTACACCACTCCTGACAACACGCTGGTCTCACTTTGCTTGATCTCACGTTGTTTTCAGTCATTACCTAATGCAGAACCAAACATCCTACTCAGTGTCTGTGGATCATCAAAAAGGAGAACAGAAACCCCAGGGTCACAGAGCAGCAGGTGGAGCTGGGTGTTACTGAGCAGCCATAACAGAGCAGTTCTTGGGAGCAAGGCAACCAGCAGAGAGCTCGGCATGGGCAGTGGATCTGCATTTTGGGGGCCGTGATGTCATACCCCGAAATGCTACTTTGCTTGGGCGCTTTTGCGAATGGTACCTAGCACATAAGGTTGTGCTACACCAAAAGGAATGTTGCCATACCTGCTTGACTTGCCCTGTAATTATGTTGTTTACACAGTAATTATATGCTTTAATCCAATTATTCCTTTAACAATTACATAGAACTTTTACATTACTCTCCTGTAAACTTAGTTATAGTTCCATAAATATTAACATAGAGGGTAAGAAAGATGAAATTACTGTTAGATTGTCATCAAAGGTTTTGGGTACCTAACAGATAAATAAATAAAAAATGCCAGAGCTTCTTCACGAAGTATGTATCTTCCAGAAATGTTGTATGGGAAGACCTTCCCTAGCACAGTTCTGCCACAGAAGCAGACTGAAGTCACTGGTTTAAGTCACATCACAGTATTATCCATATATTAAATTTCCAAATAGCGATAACTGAATATATATAACAACTAACCCACCATAATGAAAACAATATTCAGGGCATTGTGGAAGGATGGAACTGCAGAAGACAAGACAGGAATGAAAACTTTCCACTTGCATAAACAAGTTTGCTTGTTTCCTCTGCTAATATATGAACAGGATATGGAAGCAAATCGCTCATCACAAGACTTCAAAGTCAGTGTGAAAGTAAACGCAGCACCTCCTGAGGACTTGGCCAAGATTCTAGCAGAAATCAGAGAAGATTATGAAGCCATAATTGAAAAGAATCGTCAAAGCCTGGACAGCTGGTACAAGGAGCAGGTAACAGCAATTTTCTGCTCATGTACAAAGCCCCCGTTGCTGTGCAGGAATGAATCATTGAGCTTTCCCCTTGCTTCCACTCCCCAGAGCTCAACCATGTCCCTGGCAGCAACTCCCAGCCCAGAGCTGCTGCAGCGCAATGAGAGCGAGATCAAGGAGCTGTCGCGTACCCTGCAGGCCCTGGACATCGAGCTGCAGGCACAGATGAGTAAGGTATTGCCCACAGCCATCTCTGGCTGCTCACGGTTACTTCACACAGCCTCAGAAACTGTTGTGGACCAATCCTTCATTTAAATCCATAGCCTAGCATCACTTTATTGTCGTTTTTAAAGTATCAGTGAAATCGGCATTTGGACTATGCTTGGCTCTGCCAGAATATGCAAGATATATATATATATATAGATATCTTGGACATATATATAGATATAAATACATATATCTTGCATATATATATATATGCAATGATCACCAAAAAGTGAAAAATTTATGTCTCTCCATAGAACAAAATATGGGGAGAAGAAAAAGAGATGGGATACCTGACTCTATGATCTAGAAAGAAAAAATGTCCAAGCAGACAGGTAGTAATACACATTTCATATTCACAACCCCTATTATAATGCACAAAATATTTGAACTGTGAAAAATATTGGTGGGGAATCTTCAAAAATATGACTCGGCTCCTGTACAGGCTAAAGCTCCCATAGCCATGGCCTGCAGACTTTGGAGCAATTCTGGGCAGTAGATGCAGAAGTGACAAAGGAGTGAACAGTTGCGGGGGCAGAGCACAGCAGAGCAGCAGACAGACCACGGCAGGGATAAATTCCTCTGGTTTTGCCTCTCATGATGGAGACACAACGCAGCTTCATGGTTCTGCTGCCTTCACATGAACGGTCATGCAAATGACAGTGTTTAAATTACCAGTCCTGATTCTGCAATCTTGTAGCCAGAGACTAAATTTGCTGGCATTTCTGTGTTATATCTACCACATAAATAATAACCATAGCATTGGTGTTATCCGCTCTGTCAGAAACACATGCTGGAAGACACCTTGGCCGACACTCAGAATTACTACGCTGCTGCACTCCAAAACATGCAGCAGATCATCTCCAAGTGTGAGGAAGAGCTAAGCGAGGTTCGGCACGACATCAAGCAGCAAAATAACCAGTACAAGGTTCTTCTTGGGATCAAAACCCGCCTGGAGAAGGAAATCTCAACCTACCGCCTGCTGCTGGAAGGGAATGTTGACGGGTGAGGCACAGCCGCCCTGACTGGAATAGATGAGAAGAGAGTTCTCATATTCGGGTTATTTATTTGTTTGTTTGCTTATGCTTAATCAAAGCTTGTGAGTTCCATGGCACATCAAGGGTTGGTATTTTAATGTGATGGATCATAATAAAAAGCCTGAGCCACTTAGCATACAGAGAAACTTGTACCCATGTAATTTGGATCACCTAAATTAATATAGCTTTTTATTAAAAAAAAATATTTCTACATTACCACAGCGTGCCTATCTCAGCATAGGAAAAAGTGCCAATTCCAGTAAAATTCATAGTCATTTCCAATCTTCAAAACAAGTTCTAGATCAAAAAGAAGCCTGGAGACAACTTTACATAGTGGTACGAGGTCTGCTTAGAATCAGTGAGAAGAAGGGGATGAATAACTTCTTGAAATTAGTCTAATCATTATTTTGTTCTCTGTCTTATTCTCTTTACAGGATAGCAAGAAAATCTGAATCAAAAGCTAAAGGTAAAAGCCCCGTATTTTGACTCTATGGTAACTTTGAATTATTGTCATTTCCCATCGAATTTTGCTCAGAATCATTTTAACGTCACACGAATGAGGTGCGAAAGGGCTGCACCTGGAGCACGTTCTGCTGTGTCTGCACACTCGGAGACTGTCCTCAGAGTCTCCTCTGTGTCACACACTGTGTCCAAGGCTCTGGCTCAGGACTAAACCTGCCATGGGATACGAGGAGCCACAGAGACTCCATTTGGTGACTAAAGCAGTGTCAGGGCTTGAGAGCAAGCAGAAAATCTGCATGTCTGAAACTCGCATTCAGGCATGAGCATGACCTGCAGATGTTTAGGATCAGCAGCTCTGAAGTTACATTTGCATTGCCTGGGATGTAGCTGTGTTACTCATTTGCCCTGACCCGGGCAAGACGCAGGGTGACTTTCTGGCAGTGCATTTCATAAACAATAATAAGGATTGACTTAAAGGGAAACATGTAAAGATAAATCGGTTGAGGAGGCAGTTGGTAAATTACTGCAAATGAAGCTCTCCCTGCATCGTGTTGTCTCCTTAACCTCTGTCTTTCTTCCAGAACACGCTGGGCTGAGCAGTCGGAAGATCAGAGCCATTGTCCATGACACCGTGGATGGGCAGGTGGTGTCCTCCACTGTCAATGAGATCCAGCAGCAGGAGTGAATGCAAAGCTCTGCCAACCATGTGCTCTGCATTGGTGTCCCTGTGTGTACAACAGCGATACTTCAGTGAACGCGCTCCCAAAATGAACTGCAGCCTAATAACGAAAAGTGCCATACAAAGCTAGAGATAGCTGATATTGTTAGTTTAAAGAGCTTTTAGTCATCAAAACACTGAAGAAAAGCTATCCAACCAAAATGACTGGCTGAGCTGGTAACATGTATTATGCACATCTCACTGGGGCATGAACATCCATCTGTGATTCATTTGTTGCTCTGCAAATTAACTATAAATTAAAGTGAATAATCTCTCAACTTTTCTCCTGTTCTTGTATCATACACATCACTGCAGCCAATAAATTCTTTTCCATTACTTGTTCTGGTCGTTGGAATTTCCGATTTTGCATTTTCTTACATACACACACGCCAGCCCAAAGAGGCAGCGTGACCGACAGAGGTCAAGACTGCAAAAGCCTCATCGCTTCAGGAGATGTAAAAGCTGAAGGACACAAGGAAGAAGAAAAGAGGTGACACAAGTTACAGGTGACATTTACATAAGCAAAACTATTTGACTTCCCTTCCCCGTTTCAGTGTCACCATGTAAAACAGCGTTACGAGTTGTACGGTATGCTTTACTAAAATAGCCACCCTAGAAATATTTCCTTATTCTTCAGCTTCAGAGAAATTTTATTTCCTTCAAAGATTATAAGTACTTTTCCAGATAGTGTCATTCCTTCTCAGTGACCCATTTAATTTAAAAAACATTTCAGTTATTTGCTTTCACATTCATGCTCACTGCTTTTGTTGATGGCTTCACAGTCTGGTGTATTAACGTAAGGGGAGAGGCCCAAGCTCTTCAGCCAAACCCAAGCTCCCTCCCCCTTCTCATATCAGCCCCATCACTGACTGGGCAGGAGACCCTAACAGTGATAGGCAATGCTAAAAACTGAGCAAGAAAAAGAGAAATACTATTAGGACTGTTTAGATGAGGAAGACTGTAAGGCAGAACGAAGAAAGACACAGTGGAGCGTAATGAGCGTCTGTACGGATTTGCATTCCAAAGTCAACGGCTGCATATGGAGCCCTGTGTTCAGGGCAGCCTCATAAGCAAAATTGTCATTGTACTCCTTGGACCTACTCATAAGGGATTTTCATAAAGGATTCCTGTTTCCTGCTTTGCTTTGAAACAAGGCTCACAAAAGAAAGTGAAAATTCAAAGAAAATGCAGATTTAAAATAAAGTCCATCTCTACAATACACTGTTTTCTTACTGGCGTGTTACGACCAGTCCATGATTTCCCTTTAACTTCCCCCCCTCCCCAAACTCTCCACCCTGGTTGCACAAAGAGATCCCAAAAGCATCCAATGGATTACCTAATGGTTTCCTTAAATTGGGTAAAACTTGTAATACAGGATTAGTAACTCTTGGCTAATTAACAATGTCCTTCCTTATGGCTTACCAGATCCAACAAGCCAGACCTGGTGTTTGTAGCATCCGGACAAAATGTGCTTACGTTTTCTTGAACAATTTTCTGTGTTATTTAAAGCTAGAAGAATTCATCAAATTTGCAGAGCATAACTGCATTGCTGTGATACAAATAATTATTAAAACTTCTAAGTAGCCCTTTATTTCTAAATCAAAGGAAGTACCTATGCTTTGTGCTAGGTTTTGGTTGCGCTAAGCTACAAGGAAAGAAGACAAAAAGCCGAATAATTGCAGTGCTTTACAGAACACGCCTGTCCCCATTTCACATTCTTGGGCGATGCATTGGCTTCCTGCGTGTCCTGGCGTCCCCTCACGCAGAGGTGACAGACGCACGCCCTGCACTCCAAGTTACGCTCAGCCATGGTCCGAATAAGGCGGAAAGGAGGATTCCCACTGCACTGCTCTGCTGGTTTTGACGTTCCTCACAGCTGAGTGCCTGCGCTCTGCAGTGGTCACAGCAGCACGGCCCGCAGCGCTGAGCCCAGCGCTCACTGCCTTTGCTCGCACCATCACGCAGCGACGCGCAAACACATCCACTCAAGCTGCTGTCTTTTAATAGGTGATGTAAACCAATTAGTCCTTCAACACAGGAATATTAGTTACGCTACGTTCTGTTTTCTAAACGGAAGCAAGTATTCTCTAACAAAATTTGCTTACTTCTGGAGAATTTTTCATGGCTTTACAATGCTATGTATAACTGTAGATTTCCTCCTCGTTGAGCAGTTTATGATGCCGTGCCACCAGCCATATGTTGCCCTGTATCTAGTGGTTATTCATTATTTCTGAATTTGTGTTCTGGTAGATAAGCTATGCATTTCTAAAAGTACGTAGGGTAGGTCTGCACCCTGAATAGTAAATACTGATAGTAATGTTTACCACTTGCGTGCACTGTTAACATTATTTGCTCACAACACACTGGGAGATGAAGCTGGGGAGATAAGACTGGGGCAGTATTATCATTCCCATGTTATTGCTTGAGAAACTGGAAAAAGAGATGACACAACTTGCTCAAGGCTGCAAAGAAAGTCACTGACAGCAACTAAATTAGAATTCATCACTTCACAGCTTCCACTTACCCGGCCATTGGATAACACCACTTCCGCAGAGCCTCTCTCTGTTTCCAGCACCTTTTCTGCAGCTGATCGCACTGACCAGATAACGCGACTGATTCACTGCAATGTCTGCTGCCAGCCAAGACCCTGCACATACTTCGATGATGTTCTTCAACCTGCAGGTGCCAATGGCCCTAATTAAAATTAGTCCTGTACAGAACACAGTGCCTGGGTGTCTTTGGTGAGTTTGGGAAACTTTAAAAAAGAGATGGCAGATGTGCTTCTTTCTCTTAGTCTCTGATCAGTGTCCTGAAGGAAAGGAGATCTTCAGCATTGTGACACTGTATTGCTTTCAGAATTATTTTATTAATTCATTGTATTGAAACTGATTGAACTCTGCTAGCTGGAGTGTATTCTGCATCGGTATTAAATACACACAGAAGTGCTGTTTCAACATGAAGGACGTGACTGACCCAGACCCAAAGAAACTGCAATTTTTTAACTTTGAAGTATCATAAAAATAACACACTCGAAATGAATATATTCTGTTTCCCATAAATGGAATGGGATGGTAACAAATATTAGAAGGAGATAATGTCATTTCTAAGCCTGAGCGAATGATGTAACAATATTTTGCAAACCAACAAGACACAGGAACTCGCAGTCTATAAAAGGAGGCTGAAACCATCAGCAATCCCAACTCACCTCTTGCAGTTTCACCTGCCATTTAAGGAAGTCCTGCACTAAATAATCCTCCAACAGACTTGAATGCACTCCAGACTGCGTGTGAGTCATAGCTCATTTATTTCACTTGTAGAAATGTTAAAACTTCTGAAGGTACATTACAATGCACAGCTCTGGTAAGTGAAATGTTGATCCTCTGGAAGAGGTTTGCAGTGAGGTAATGCAGCAACGGGCTGTG